GGTGGTTGCCTGGAAAGGTTTTTTTAAAAAATAAAAAGTTTTGAAAAGGGGTAATGTGGATAACAATGGATGGGGGGGGGGGGGGGGGGGGGGGGGGGGAGCATTCGCTATTACGAGAGTGCTTATGGAATGCTTGGGAAGACATACTGTACATACATGCGCACGCACAGAGAGGGAGAGCCCGAGTCGAGCGAGTGTTTGAGATCAAACAGAGTGAACGGTAGAGGGAGCACCTCGGCGACAGGTGTTCGACCAAGGTGGATAAGACAGGGGGAGTACCAAACACAGACAGCAATGCTGTGCGGCTTTCAGCAGGCGGAGCGTGAGGAATATTTCCGCCAGGCTCATTCTGATACCTCTGATAGACGGTATTCGACAGCACCGGCATTCACGATTCCTGTTGTGCATATCTCGAATTATTGGCACACTTTTTTTATTGGTCGCTGAGGCGCAGGCGAAAGGCCTGGTGTTCCGGAGGGTGGGGGGGCTTCTGTCCTTCCCTTGAGCAAGCGCGGACTTGCGTGTGTGGACAGGGGGGGCAAGGGGCAGGCAAATGTATTTCGTGTTACACCTCTTGTGCGCGAGTAGCACCCGGAAACCAAGGGCCTTGCTTCGCACGATTGTAAATGTTCGGGCATAGAACCGTTGAAGGTAGTGAAGCTACGGTTCTTTGTCGGGGTGTGGGTTTCGACTGACACAATCGGTGTTACAGCAGGTTCAACAAGACGTGGCCCACGCCCTCCGCAAGCTCTATTCATTTCCCCAAACGTTTGTTCATGTCTCCGTTGTATACTTGTATTTAAAAAGTGTCTGCATAGCAGTAAAAAATATGCATGCACTCTGTGTTGTGGTATGTATGCATGCATGCGTATGTATGTAGTAAGTGCTACGTGTCGCCGGCGTGGCTTGCGTCTGCGCTATCGCTTGGCACTACGAGTTTTGTACTCCCCTTGTTTGCCGGTGTTAATAAACCAAGTCGAGTGGCAATAGGTGCGGATATCAGGCCAACAATTAACACCGCTGTCTGGCAAAAGAATACCGGTAGCAAGATAAAGAGCAACTGGATTATGAGTCTCAACGTGGAGTAGATAGTAGGCAGACGTTGGTGGGTGGGGTTTGTGCTCATGTAAACGCAAATGGCGTAATCGTTGGGCCATTCACCTGGCACCCGTACATTGCCGGGACGGAGCGATATGACGACGCCGCGGACGGTGGTGGTGGAGGTGTTCTGGCAGTAGTGTAGACGGTGACAGAGGAGGACCTGCCTGCCTTCGGCATGATGACGAAGATTAACGGTGATTTTGGTTGACGGAAGGGCTATCATCGTGGCGTGACACACGCTTGAACTGCTTTAACTTTTCTCCGTCTTGCCCCCTGTTTTCCGTGTCGGCACTCGGTCGCACAAAATAAGTGATGGTGAAATTTCTTTCTCTGATATCTGTTCGTTTGTTTGTGCACGCGGTTAAATTGTTAAGAACATTAACATTCCCGGATCCGTGTATTCTTCCCATATATATACCGTATATGACACAAGATAACACACCCCCTGGACCGATTTTCAAAGCTCGATTACTCCACGACGAAGAGGATGCATAAACGAAACAATACATTTTCGAAAACCTCTCGACGAGACGGTTCCAACGCCGCCGTTTTCGGCGCTGTGACTCTTCCTGCTGTTGAGAAATCGAGCTTTGAAAATCGGCCCAGGGGGTGTGTTATCTTGTGTCATATACGGTATGTAGTGTTGGGTCTGTCTGTGTCGAGATTTTTACCGTTAGGGTCACACTGGTAACAATGGCGAGCGAAAAATGTGCTCGACGTTAGAACCGAGGGTTGGTCCGTGAAGAGGGATTCGTCTGGCCTCGACGGATGTTTATGTTTGTGACATGTGACCGTTTGGAAATACCCTACCTAAGACGCAAGGATGATGACGTCATGACCAGCTTCTGTTTCATCCTTGTGACACGTAGCCTGGGCCGGTGGTCCGGTGAGAACCCGGCGTACTCCGTCCCGGCTTTGTAGGGATGCGAGGTCAAGGTCTAACGACGGCATGCATGCATTTTCAGAACGCCCTCCCTCCCCTTTAAGAGCCTTGTTTGGTAGGCAAGGAACAAGAGAGGCTTTTAAGGGTACCGGAACCCGTCTGGGTGGCGACGAGTCGAAACACTGCGTCGAAAGATGATGTGCCTGTTTTCACCGGGGTTGAGAAGTTCCACAGGTACGCCTCGAAAATAAATCTGTTTCTTGGTCCTTCCTCCCCCATGCGGCGGCATTGCTTCTTCGTAGATCTGTCTTCCACAGGATTACTAATATTTATTTTGTGGGATAACAAAACCCAATGGCTTGAGAAATGAGGGAACCATCCTCAACAGACAGAAGCTGGACAGAGGCGACCCTTTTGAAGCGTCATCTCCACGGTTAGTTCCACTGTTCTTTGGGGGGGTGGCGGGATTTGAACACGGGGTTGTTTCCCACCACCAAACGAAGCCACATACCACGGATCAGAGGGGGCTCGGCAGTTGAGAAAACAAGCCCATGCGGGTGGGTCGACGGAGACTGCGAGCGACGGACATCAAATGCAAGAAAAAACACAAATGCAACCAGGAGATTCATTTTTTTTCTCGTGAATGAATCTCCTCCTCCGCACAAAGTGCGCGTGCGAGAGCCCTCTTTTACTTCCTCATATTCCTGGTCGTGACACATTTGGTATGCGGGGGTTAATTCTCTCTTGATGCGGCCCTTCTTTTTGTGAGGCCGCCGGCAAAAAGGAACAGGGCTCCCCGTGAGGCCGGGGGGATAGTTCTCTCTCTGAGGCGGCCCTTTCGTGAGCCCGCCGGCAAAAAGGAACAGGGCTTCCCTTGAGGCCAGGGCTACCCCCGGGCTAACATGTGTCGATTCGAAACTTCTTTCTTTCTCGGTGACAGAACAATACAAAGTTCCTGCTCCACTGCTCTGGTTGTACGTGCAGCGAGTGCCAACCGGTCCCTTTCGCCGAACTGAAAAATTGCCAAGTCACAGAAGTGCACACGTACGTAAGATTCCAACAACGGTTAACTCGATGCACAACCACGACGATCACAACTCCAATATACCTTTGATACGGACAGCAAAATAGAGACCGCCCGTCACCCGCATAGCAACAGCCTTCAGCCCCAACAAAGGCGGTGTTGTTCCGGTAACAGCGCTAAATAACAAACGCCGCCTGCCAAATTGCGCTTCACCGCAGCACATCGGTGTTGTTATACGTACGTACGTAACCCCCCCGACTCTTTCGTCGTTGACAAAATATTCCCCGCGCCCTGATCACGATTGTCGTGGCAGCAAGCAAACAACACGCCCAAAACGCCCACGAATCCCTTGCAACTCCTCATCGTTTATCCAACACCGTTGCTAG